AGGCACCCAGGGCACACATTTTAAGTTGTCACTCACCTGCAGATGCCAAGAGTGTCCCTCCTATATTCTTTGTCCTAGCCTGGTCCCTTGCCCTGGCACTTGATTACATTAGTGCAGGCTGGCAATGTGAGTTCACCTACCTGGACTCGGGCAGTATCAGCTCTCAGCAGCTGTGCCCTGGGTGGTATGTTCCATTAAGAGGGGAGGTGAGTGCCAGCTCCAGGCCTAACATCTGCTGCTGCCAAAGACTGGTCTGGGCTGCCTGCACAAGGGGCTCACAGTAAGGTGCTTTGTGCTTCTCCAAAACTGCCTGCTCTTCATGTAGGACCATTACAGCTTATTTGGAGGTAGTAGCTGATTTTTTTCCTGCTCAGTTAGCTTTGCCTTATTAAGCAAAACGTTGGAAATAAGTGGTTTGCTTAAACAAAAAAGTACCCTCTGTTGTGGTCTTCCATTTGCATCTAGGTCAAACTGGGGGAAGTTCTTGGCGCACAACCAGGCTCTGACCTTGCCCTGGTCCGCGATGACCCTCTCGCATCACAGAGGCATCGTGCGGCCAAAGAAGCGATAGTTGAAGTTGCCTTCAGTTCGAGTCGGTTCCTGGTTTCTAGTGACAATAGCTTGAAAAAAGTGAACTACTGGCCCTACTTAGGAATAATAAAACCACTAAAGGATGTCAATTATTACAACTTTTATTTTTTAATATACAGATGTAATACCTTGCATTGAGCACTGAGGGCTGGAACTGACTTTTCTTTCCATGGCTTAAAATCACCTGTGTGGCAACAAATACTCTTAAGTGTGTTCAACTCTGTTTTCTTCCCACATGTGCAGTGTGGCCTTTAAAAACCACGACTTAATTTGGTCATTAAATGTACCATATTTACTTCTTTACTCTTTAGCATTTATAAATTAGTACAAAGGAGAAGTTCTTTTAATGATGAGAAATAGGAAGAAATGAGAATTGGTGAAATAAACTAGACTCAGATTTCATTCTTCACACGTGGTGGATATGTCTCATCTTTTGGCAAGCTTGTTGGTAGGACTCTATACCCAGAAATCACACTAAGACAAATAGGAAATTGAAAAGCTTGGAAGGGGTAGGCTGACTCTAAGTGGCCAGGGGTGGAGATGGGGCCAGTCCAGGACCCCCACCTCTTGGTTTCTAAGGTCCCTCTGGCCTGAAGGTAGACACCTCGTCTCATCCAGTCTGTAGGGGGCCATGTGGGAAGACCCAGCCCCACCGAGTCATTCCCATTCTAAGGCGGGGCTACCTCCCATGTCTGCTATCTCACAGACTTAGTCTTCTGGGTCTCTATGTCTCGGTTTAAAATTTAGGTTATTAGCTAGTGTTTAAGGGCAGGGGAGGTGTGGTAGACTCCTGGTGGATCTGGGCAGGCACCCAGGCAATTGTGGCCTCTTCCTCCTGCTGCTCCCTCTAGCAGTCCAGTGGGTGGCTAAGCACTGGGGGGAGCCTGTGGGTTGTCAGGAGCCCCTCGCAGAATGAACGGTGGGCTTGTGTTCCCAGAGCACTGCGCTGAGGAAGGGAAGGCTATGGCTGAGCACCCTGGGCCACATTGGGAGGTCCCCCCTGGAAAACACCAGGCCTCCCAGGCCTCTTCTCTCCGTGATTCAGGGGCCGAGGACACTGCTGACTGTTTGCCACCTATAAAGCATCAGTGCTCCAAGGGGGCCTGATTAGGGAAATCTGCTCCACCCAGACCTCTCAGTGAGAAGCCAGGCTCCCAGGCCAGGCCAGAGGGTCTGGTGAGTGTCAAGGGCAGTCCCCTCCCTTTGTGCCCCCGGAACAGCTGCTCCATCTGGAGACCAAGCAGGTGGCTGCCTGTGCATTGTGAGCAAGTTGTCACACACAGGGTGTGCCAGAGGGACCCTCTGCTGGCCCTCCGATTGTGCCCAGGCCCGCCAGTGTCCCGAGCCACTCCATCAGAGGTGCATTCCTTTGAGGAATGCTGCTGCTTCCGTTTCCAGGAAGCCCTACTTCCGGGAAGTGCCAACAGGCGAGAAGGGCCACCCTCGGGGACTATGAATGTGGGTTGTAAGACCATATTATTGAATTGCTAATTTTCTCAAATGTGATAACGACATTGAGGTTATGGAGGAGAATGCCTGGTTCTCAGAAGACACAAGTCTTTAGGGGTGAAGTGCAGTGATGTCTGCAGCTCACTCCCAGACGGTTCAGACACACACACACACACACACACACACACACACACATGCACTTGGGCGTCATTAGCAAAGACGGCAGAAGTCAGTAACTGCTGAATGGAGCCAGTGGTACCTGGGTGACGGTCATCTTACCTTTTCAGCTCTGGGTGTGTAATTTGAAGATGATCATGAAGCACGGTGAGGGTAAAGTCGCCTGCAGGGTTGGTGTGAAATCCCCGTCCCACTCTCAGAGCCTGTCTGTGATTCAGGAAGTCTGGGAGGCGCGGAGCATGGGGAGCTGAGCAAGCCCCTCAGCTGTTCCTGATTCAGGACCCCTGGGTCCCTCTGGGGAAGCACTGCTCCCAGTGCCCAGTGTTCCTCGGCGGAAACCCAGCCCCAGAGCATTGTGGGGCTGGAGCAGGTGCAGTGGCGGAACAGGTGAGAGCAACCATGCTGAAGCAGAACAGGAAGCCAGCACCTGCGTGGTGCCTCAGGCGCCCCACTCCCTTCTGCTGCTGGGCATTGCTGTGGGGGCCGGAGGCCCCTGCTGCAGCTCCAGCTCCAGCCACCCTGCCCCTACCCCCACGCTCCGGAACTGTTAATCACTTAATCATGTTGTGTCTGACCACCTGGCCTTTGCTCAGGCTGTCCCTTCTGCTTCTAATGTCCGTCTTTTCCATCTCCCAACCTCCATTCTCCCCGACTGCACGGCTAACGTGTACCCTTTCCATGTCTCCTCCTCTAGGAAGCCTTCCCAAGATTGGGCCAGTCACCCCCTTTTTCATGTGCTCCCATAGCACCCCCAGTGTGCTGTTGCCCTTACACGACTTTCCACTAACTGTGGAGTCCTCAAGTCTCCTGGCTGTTCTTCCAGGCACAGTGCAGGGCTGCCCTGCCCAGCCCCTTGAGCGTGAGTGGGACACGTGGCTGTTTCTGGCCAGTGGACCACAATGACAGTGGGAGACCCTGTCTAGAGCTTTCTTTTCATCTCCAACCGAGCCCTCCACAGCCTTAGAAATGGTGGAGCCCTAAGTAGGCAAAGCCGCCCTGCCGCTCTGGGACGGGCAGCTAGCGCGGTGAGAATAAACCCTGGCTGGCTTTGGCCATTGTGATTTGAGACACACACCTTACGCGGTGCTGTACCCCCAAACATTCGGCCCAACTCCCAGCACACAACAGATACATAAGATATAGTTTTTATCTCTATTATTCTTGCCTGTGAAACCGGCCTTGAAGACCAGGCAGCAGTTCCAAGACACATGACCCTGCGTCCTTTACTCCTTCTCTGCTGATACGGGACTGACTCTCCCTTGAGGTGCCCCAGAGTATCTTTTGTAAGCAGGTTCAATGCCAAGTCCTCTGACCATCCAACAGCTCGGGCACCACGAGCCACCATCGCCCGCCTGCCCTGGCGAAGGCTCTGGCGAGGAGGGCAGCCTCGTAACCCACTGCCCTGCATATTAACTTGTACAGATCTCTCAACCTTCAGGCCGTCTTCCAGAAAAGCATCAGAGCGGTCCCGTGCTCACTGTAGGTTACCATTCCAGCCTTTGGAGAATTTCTGAAGGGAAGAAAGTTTGTTCCCATTGCCTCTCCAGTCCCCTGGGGGGCAAGCTCTGTGGCTCTCTCCTCTGGCCAGCTCCCCAGGTCTCGGGCACGCCTCCCCGCCACTGCCTGACCCAAGGACTGCAGGAGCCCAAGTGATTGGGTTCATGCTGAAGTGTGGATATGGAAGGCAGAACCCTGCCAAGCCAGGACTGCAGGAGCCCAAGTGATTGGGTTCATGCTGAAGTGTGGATATGGAAGGCAGAACCCTGCCAAGCCAGCCTGTCAGGACTCGGCCGACGGGGCAAAACCACTCGTGCTTTTGGACCCTGTGCATCCGGGGCGTGCAGGTCCTAGAGAGGTGGGAGCTGCAGCGGCGTCGTCCGTGGCGATCCTGCAGCCTAGGTGTTCCCTGAGGTTTCGCCATGAGGACAGCAGGTTCCAGGAGATTTGAGATGACGGGTATTTTGTTTCCTTTTCCCAGAAGTCCCAGCTCGAGCAGTGTAGAGCAGCGATGGGGTAAGAGGCGGGTGAAGGGGTGGGGCACTCACAGAGGAGACACCAGGGGGCAGACGCCAGGCTCCTCCTCACCGCTGATTTGCTCTTCCTGGGACCACAGGTTTGCACGGCCCCAGCTCCTAAGCCCCAGCCTCCGGCTTGCTCTCTGGAATTTGAGTTCTCAGCGAGGCTGCTGTGGGCACCACACTTGGCCAAGAACTCTCTGCCTTTCCCAGAGAACCTCTGCGGGGAGAGCCTGTAACAGCTCTCACCTCTGCAGACGGCCCGGTACCCGCCCAGAGTCCTTCCACATCTCAGACCCCAACAGTCCTACCAGCCAGGAGGGGAGAATATCACTGTCTACCCTCCACAGTGGAGGAACTGAGACCAGGTCCTCTGGAGAAAAAAGGGGCCTTGGTTCACATAGCAAGCTGGTGACAAAGTCAGGATGGAGTCTGGGTCTCGAGACATGATGACCAGTGTCCTGCCTGATTTACTGTGATGTCCAGGTAAGAAAAAGTGAGAGGGGCTCTTCTGGAAGTGTCACCCGGGAGCTCACACATGCTCAGACATACATGCACTCTTTCAAAATGTCGGCCCCACTGACGTAATACTGCCGGGCTCCGAGGCAGATGTCCGTGTGGGAGACCACTGAGCCCCTGTGAGTGGGGTCCTGAGCCCCAGAGTGGCTGCCGTGGTGCCTGAGAGCCAGGAAGGGCTGCCCCAGCCAAGCCTCACGTTGACCTTTGCAACTCATGGTGCACAGGTGCAGCCTGTGGCTGAGGGGCTCCTCAGGGTGAACATGTGGCTGCCCGTGGGCTCCGGGGGCTCATCTGGTTCAAATTCTCGTAATTGGACTCCTGGGCCTGAGGCCTGTGGACAAGAGGAAGTTGGCTGATCACCCAACACAGGAAGTGGGGTCCTCGACTCCCCAAACCGCAGCCCAGCAAGGGGCAGGAAGGAGAGACGAGGTGGCCGACTCAGCAGGGCCTGGGCACCAACTGAAGGCTGGAGAGCAGTGCAGAGCTTGTGGGATGGGAGCGGCCTCCGTGGGGGCCGGCCGTATCCCAGACTCCCACAGGGGTCGCATCTGTGCCTTCAAAACCCACCTCCGTGTCCCTGACCTGCAGGCCTGGCTTTCCTGAGCTCCACCTGCTTTCCTGGCTTCTGAGACGTCTGAGAGGGCATCTCAAACCCAAGTGTCCGCAGTGCTCACTGATCCTCACCCCCCCCCCCCCGTTCTCTCCTCAGCTTTATCTCAGTGAGTGGCACCCCGGCTCCAGCTCCAAACCTGGGTGTCCTGGCTCCCTCCCTCACTCGTGATGCCCGCCTGGTCCTCCAGCCAGCCCTGCCGTCTCCCTGCCTCCACTATCGCCTTCATCGGGGTAGCCATGCCAACCTCAGCTTGGCCAACAGCCTCCTCACAAGCCCCCTTTTTGTTCAGATGGGAACATTCGCCCACTTGAACCCATTCGGTGACTTCCCATAGCATCCAGAATAAATCCTGCAGCCTGTCAGCCTGCTCCCCCCTCTCCCGGGTCTCCCCTGAGCCTTTCGGCTGCCTTTTTCTCCCGGATCACCTCCGCCACCCCTGCCTGCCCCTCTGGGCTCAGGTGTCCTCAGTGTCATGTCAGCCGAGAGGATGTCCTGATCTAAAGCAGCCACAGCCCAGTGGCCCCCTCCCTCCCTGGAGCTGGGCTTCGTGTCCTGCTTCTTGTCCGTTTCCTTCAGAGCTCTTATTTTAAGATCTAAGATGGTTTTGTTAAAAATCCCCATGGTAAAGTTTGAGTTCTCCCAGGTTGGGGATTTTTGCTGTATCTTTAACATCTAAAATGTGTACACAGGAGGTGCTCAATAAATGTTTGAACAATAGTATTCTGGTTTAGGCACCTTGGTGCAGTAGCAAACGAGCGAAGAGAAGGGATGTTGCACAGGCAGCTGGGGGGAGGGGCTGGGCTGGCAGTGCGGCTTCTGCACCCCTTGGGGCACAGGCGAAGTGGAGCTAAGAGAGCGGAGCCTGGGTTCGACAGCCTGGAAGACTGTCTTCCTCCTCAACCCCGCCCTAACCCAGCGCCCCAGACGGACCCCTAGGGTCTCTGATCTGAATTCTTTCTTCATCAACATGAGCCTTCACTTGAACAAAGACCACAAATGCGGAAGCACAGATGGGGGGGTCAACACCTCCTAGCTGGGTCCCTGGGCCCCTGACCTGAGCCCTCAGCACCTCTAATGACACTCGTTTACAAAGGCTTCAGCAGGGCATCTGGCGGAATGAGGGCCTTGAGGTGGCTTTGGCATGGGCTCGCCCGTTCTAGGTTAGTCACTCTGAGCGGAGACACGGCCTTGAGGAGCCGCGCCCCGGTGCAGAGATCAGACAGGCACACAGAAAAGCGAGCCTTTGTCACCAGGACCCTGGGCGGGCCTAGGGGAGATGCCAGTGTGAGGCCCAGATAAGAAATGACGGGGGTGGGTGGGGTGGGGTTGGGAGGACAGGACACCGTGGCCTGGTCTGGCTTGAGAAGGCATGGTGGACTCAAGGAGGAGCTCCTCTGAAGGCCGCAGGGAGGGCCTAGACCTTGGTCAAGGCCAGGACCCCAGCCCCAGCCCTTTGTCTCTCCTTTCTCCTCATGCCGTCTGCCCTGAGGAGCCTGCACCCCTGGGCCAGTGAAGACCAGAGCCCAGCGAGGTGGGGGCGGGGTAGCTCACTTACCGTGGTGGGGTGTCCTGGGTGGCCGGATGCTCTGTGTGGGGGACAAAGAGGAAGAGAAAGGGCATGAATCTACATGGGGGCCTAGGCCTGGCCGTCCACCCTGCCCGCTGTGGAGAGTGGCCTGAGGGGAACGTGGGACAACAGCGAGCTAGCAGGGTGGGAAGGAGCCACATAAAAGATGAAGAGCAGGGTGGCGTGAGAAGCTGTCCAACCGGCAAACCCGCTTTCCTGGGGCCCTGAGCACAGACCGAGGAACCAGCGAGAGGGCCCGTGTGGCCCGGGCAGGGTGGCAGCCAGGGCAGCTGTGGCACATTTTGGATTTCCTCCCAGGAGAGTCTGAGGCTGGTGGTGTGGACCTGGGTGGTCTGAGTGGCTCTGGACGTGCCCCTCCAGGACACAGAAGCCAGCTTCCCCTCTGGCCCAGTGAGAGCAATGGGGGGCAGTCTGCATCTCTCTGAGGACACTCTGCTACTTTACCCTTCCTCGCTCTGAACGTGCTGTTCCTTCTGCTGGGCATCCTGTTGGCTCCTTGTTCTTTTAGCTCATGATTTCACTCTCCCTCTCCCCTTCCTGTGGAAAGCCTTCCCTCTGGGCCCCTGCCCAGACGCCCACCAGAGTGATGTGCACAGACCCGCTTCGGCGCCCTGACTGTAGGGTGCACTTGGGCAGACTGCAGTTACCTGCCTCCTCCTCAGCGTCCCGTCCAAGGGCAGCCCTCTGTCTACTCATCTCTGCATTGTCAGCACCTACACAGCACCAGTAGGCCCTCAAGGTGCTGCTGTAACCAATGCAATGTGCTCTTTGGCAAAGCCTGTGTGTGGTCAGCCATCTTAGGAAGGTGTCCTTTATGAGTGGTGGTAAAGGGGGAGGGGACGCCAGAGCTCTGCTGGCTGGGTCTCTATCTCCGTGACTCCAGGCTAGAGGCAAGTTTCTTAACCGTGCCTGGCCTTAGCTTCCAGATTGTAGAATGGGCTCACACAGGTCCCCACCTGCTGGGGCTGGATGAAGGTAGAGGAAACGGAAATGATGTCTCTGTGCAAAAATGATGTTTGGGTTGTGTCACGCCAGGTGGCCAGCCAGATGGCCTTACCCTAAAAGCCTCCAACCCGCTGCTCCCCTTGCACCCACCCTGTCCCAGGCACACCCACCTAGGCGGCGGTGCGCGGTGTAAGCCGCCACCACTCCCAGCAGCAGCAGCACCTTGAGGCCCAGCGCACTGAGCAGGAGGGTGATCGCTGAGGCCCCGGAAGCGCCGTGGAAGCGGAACAAGTAGACGCTGGCCTCTGCGCGGCCCAAGCTGTTAGAGGCTGTGCATGTGTAGCGGCCGTCGTAGGCGAGCGCGGGCAGCTCGGCGGTCACCTGGTGGCCGTGACCCTGACCCGGGCCCTGCCGGGCAGTTGAGAGGTTGTCCAGAACTGGGCCAGACCAGGCTAGAGCGGGCGGAGGCTCCCCTTCGGCCGTGCAGAGTGCGCGGAAGGTATGCGCAGGACCGGGCAGCACCGAGATGTTGACGATCCTGGGGGCGGCTGCGGGAGGCAGTGAAGGGGGCGGGGCGTGCGGGAGAGAGGGAGCCACTATCAGAGCGTGCGCATGCCGCAGACGAGGAGAAGGGGCACCCTTCCTTGTCCCCTTGAGTGGCCCAGGAAGTTGGAACACGTGGGAGAAACGTGGAAAGGAGGGAGTGGGCACCAGGTGCCTGGGTCTCAGTGCAGGTGTGGCCTTGGTCAAACTATTCTGCTGCCGTGCCTCAGTTTCTCCATGTGTGAAATGGGAATCACTCACTTACAGGGTTGGTGAGAAGATTTGCCAAGTTACTACGTGCGGAGTGCGTGGAGTAGGGCCTGCGTGGAGTAGGGCCTGGCCCATAGGAAGTGCTCGCGTAGATGGTGGTTACTGTCGCGGCAGCACAGGGTTGGGCGGTCTGCTGGTAGGATTTCAAGGGCACCTCCCACAACCGGAGGACCTCACCGGGAGCTGGAGTTGAGACTGACTCACTGAATCCGCGGCCCTGTGTTGGGTGGATGCCAACTCTGGGAAGAAACTGAAATGAGCTCAGGCGATCTAGCCTGCCCAAGGGCACGTGAAAAGTTCTTGGGAGAGCCAGACTCGAACCCAGAACTCCCGGACACCCCCACCCACCGCCCTGCCCCCCACCATAGCGGGGGATCCAGGGTTTTTTAAAGCTCGACAGGTAATTTCAATGTGCAGCCAGGGCTGAGAACCACTGCCCTGGGGGCGGGGACCCCGGTTTCCATATCTTGCGGCTCCCCGCACACCTCGCAGAGGGCATGGCTGCTGTTCGGGGCACAGGGCACTCACCTCTTGGCAGCCCTTGCCACACGTAGGGCTGCTGTTCACTATTCTTCTCTCCCCTGGACTTTGAGCTACTGGGGACTTTCATGCTCTAAGAGCTTCATTACAATGCCCACTCCCAGGCCCCACCCAGTCCTTCGGGGGCCCGGATTCTGCATCTTTGACAAAGGCCCAGGTTGCCCGTAACCACCACCAAGGGCGAGAGCCCCGCTCTAGAGAACCGAGTGTGCATCCATCCCCTTCCTATGCTAGTGGCGGGCACGGTGCCCGGCACCCAGGAAGCAGCCCCCAGCCCAGAGCGGGACGGAGGGCGAATAGGAAGGAAAGACGCCGCCTCCCCCCGCAGCCCCTGGCCCCGCCGCCGAGCTCACCGGTCACGCGGAGCCGGACACCGTGGCGGCTCTCGTAGCGGTCATGGATGTCGCCGGCGAACTCGACGCGGCAGAAGTAGCGGCCCTCGTCGGCCAGGGCGAGGCGCTCCACGCGCAGCGAGAGGTCGTTGCGGCGCGGGTTGCCCAGCAGGTGGAAGCGGCCGTGCAGGCTCAGCGCCGTCTGGCAGAGCTCGCTGCCCCGCGCCGCGGCGCAGCGGAACACCTGCGGGCCCGCGTAGGGCTCGCCCGCGCGCCAGATGGCCGTCAGCGGCCCGTCGTAGTGGCGGTGCGGGTGCGTGAAGGTGCAGGGCAGCACGGCCGCCTCGCCCGCCGCCGCGCTCACCTCGGCCGGCACCTGCATGGACCAGCGCTGCGCGGGGGCACCTGCGGGCGCGGCGCGTCGGTGTTACCCGCTCGGCGGCCCCGCCGGCTAAGTGCCCCCAAACCCAGGATTCCGGAGGGAACCCCTGGAGACCCAGAATTCACGAAGCACCCCGAGAGACGGAACCCCCGGGACTCTAGGACCGCCCCCTCCCACAAACCCCATGACTCGGGCAGCACCCCTCCCCCTGTAAAGGGGGGTCTGGAAACCCACCAGGTGATTAGAGAAGCTTCTCATAGGACCTTGACTCCCTTGACTGGCCAGGTTCCTGGAGCCTCCCCCACTTTCCTGTGACTATTAGCCTCTCTCCCTCCCCGAGATCCCATCTCACCCATCACCCGCTCTGCTATAGAAAAGTCCTGCGATTTCTGTGGTTCCAATAGACTCCAAAGACCTCCGAGGTAGTGAGGATAATAAAAGTACTTACTGTGCTCCTCTGTGTTGAGCGAGTTCCTGGTGGTATCTCTTTTAGTTCTCACAAATGATCCTAGAGACAAACATAGTTACCCCTGGGTTACATGTTAAGAAACTGAGACACATAAAGGTGGAGTAATTGCCTGAGGCCACACAGCTAGGATGAGGCAAAACCAGCGTTGAAAGCCAGTACTGCCTGACCCCACAGCAGCAATCTACTGCACTAAAGGCTTGGGACCTAGGGACCCAATCAAGGAGACCAGCAGTGCCGTTCATAGAGGGGAAACCGAGGCCTGGGAGGCAGTGATATGTTTTGAAGCTAATGTGGTAAAGTTGGTAACTCCAGAATCCAGGTCAACCCAGGTGGGCTTCTGAAGAAGCTGGTGCCCAGGCAGGGAGCCGGAGGCCAGGTGTGGTGGGCAGTTATGCTGCCTCCTTACTCTGTGCAAGCACCTCTGCACTGGGTCTCCTCACCTCCTGCACTGTGAGCCTCTGAAGTGTGGGCAAGCGAAGGTCCAGAATCTTTACTCTGCCTTCAACTCACAGAGGGCCGGTGAGCTGCTGCCTGTGTGACCGAATGTGCTGCTTTGAGAGGGGGACGAGCTGGGTGGGTGGCTGGCTGTCAGTGCTGGTCCTGGGAGGGCCAGGCCGGGGGCTGTGCCTCCAGAGAGAAGGAGGGCAGGCTTAGCAGCTAGTGCCCAGGTGCGGTTCACAAAAAGAGTATTTAGAGGGAATAATATAGCAGCCCTCTGTGTATCCAAAGGGCTTTGCAGTTGACATAGATCTTTCATGTATGGCATGTCACATGACCCTCGAAATACCCAGGGGAGAAAAGCAGGGCAGATATTGTTATAGACGAGAAAATGAAGACCCCGAGTCACACAGGCGGAAGGTGGGGAGAAACGCAGCTCTTCTGACTCCAAGTCCAGTGCTCTCCGCTCTTCAGAGTAGCGTGCCACATGCCCTAGCAGAAACCCTCCCAGCTGGCAGAGCCTCCTCCAGGGAGCCCATCCCACCTGTGGATCACCTACAGGTCAGAGTATTCCGCCTGCACAGAAGCCACGCCTGCACCACCACGTGACTGCCACTGCTCTGTGAAGCATTGCGCGGTCCCTCCCCAGGATGGGCTTTCTGGGGTCCCATCATGCCTATCCAGGGCCCATGCAGCCTTCCCTTTTTTGGTGGAAGTCCCAGTCCCCCTTGCTGCCCCTCCCCATCCTCACTGCCTGCTCAGTACTCTCCTGCAGTGTGCTGTCCTGACCTGGGGCTCCAGATGTGTGCTCCAGGTGTGCTGGGCCAGTGGAGTGCGGTCCGAATCAGGTTGTGTGAACTGTGCCTGGTATATAGCCTCACTTTGCCCTTGTGCTGAGCTTGCAATCAAATAAAACCACATTCCCCCCCCCCACACACACACAATCTGCTTGTAAGCCAAATCTCTTTCCTTCTGGACGAGTGGAGTTGTGCTTTTGAACCCAAATGGAGGACTTGACAATTACCCCAAGAATGAGCTAGCTCACTCAGATGTTGGCGATAATCAAAGGGCCTACTTCCAAATTTGAGAAACCCTCTCTGAAGGTTTTGCTGGTCTAGTCAGTACTACCAGCTGCAGAAAGCATCTCCTGGCTCTGGAGACTCAGGTCCTGCCTCAGTTTCCCTGCATTTCCCACCTTCTGTGGCTTCAGCCTCTGTTGGGAGCTGACCAACAGCCGTCCCTTGACACAGTCGGGATGGATGAGATGCATCTGCACAGCAGAGGCAACTGTGGCTGGATTTCCTGTCTATCTCCTTGCATGTCTGTCTTTGCAATTAATAGGTGGTGGGATTTTTAGACACCTGTATTTCAGGTCCAATGATCTGCAGAATTCCAATGGAGTTATACAAAATGATTTCTTGGCCATAGAACAAGTCCCCCCTAATGGGGTAGCCCCTGAATGTCTAAAAGTTGATGGAGTAACAGCCCCTCCTCTACCTTGGACAGGAATATATATTAATTAGAATTAGGTAATGAAGCAGGAGAAGCTAGTTAACTGTTACAAACTAAAAACGTAGAAACAATTGCTAAGGAGTTAGAGTTCACAGTACATAAAAAATATTTTAGACAGAAAGATAGATAGCTAAGTTAGACATCACAAAAGCCTTATAATAAATTTCCTATAACCACTGTTCAGTCTAGCGTATCCTGCTGACCCATGCCTAATTCTAAGAACTTTAGTAAATAATAAGACATTTAAAGCTCTGTATATACAGCTATTTCTAATTGTCTGATTAATGACTTTCCTGGCCAAAATAGCCTTTGTTTAACATAACTGAATCTATGAAATTTCCTGTACTTTTCCTAGTTACCTTTGTATTGATTTTTTCTACTTAACTGATCATGCCATATACCTATTATGTAACAATCTCTATACAAATAAAGCCTAAATCAAACTCTGTGAGTTCGGTCAGACCCACAGAGGCTGGCTGTTCTCCGGCATCCAGTCGGGTGTCTGACTCTTCATTCGTTGCCTGCACTGTCCGTCCTTCAGGGACCCTGAGACCTGCTGAGGCTGGACCCCGGCAAGCCTCCCTGACCCCCTGCATCTCACAAGAACCCCAGATTCCCCAGGTACAGTTTGCTACTGTGCATTTATCAGTTAGCAAACCTTTATTGGACACGTGTCCACTCTAAGACAGGCACTGGGATACGAGAGGGGTTACAAAGATCAAACAGTCATTTACCAGCCTGCTGGAGCTCACAGCTCAGAAAGGGAGGAGGATCTGGGAACACATAATTACACCACTGCCTGCCGGTGCCCTTGTGAGAGACACAAAGCTCCCTTTGTCTGAACATGGTTTCAGGCCCTTTACCAGTTCCTTCCTGGCCATGCCCAGTCCCTGCAGTTGCTAAGAGGCCTTCCTTGAGCCCCAAGCCTGGGTGTGGCACCCCTACCCTGTGCCCCAGGGCTGGCAGAGGTAGCTACTCTGCATGGGCATCGTCTGTTCTCCGCGTGTCTCACCCAGGCACCCAGAAGCTCTGGGGGGTGGGTGGGGCGGGGGCCACAAGCCCGTGGTCATTGTTGTGTTGTAACTGCCCAGTACAGCGCCATGCCACACACCTAGTAAGTAATGAAACTGCTGTGACAGAGCAGAAGGCAGGGGAGTGATCTGGGCAGGGACGGCTGGGCATGGGGACAGCGGCATCGTGCAGCTGTGGGGCAGGCAGGGAGTGAAGGACCTGTGAGAGGGGAGACACACTTTCAGCAGAGTCTTCAGAAAGGAGAACGGCGTTACTGAGTCTTGAGGTGGATTGAAGGCAGTGCAGGCAGAGAGGGACGGTGGGGCCACACCAGGAGTTGGGGACATCAGCAGAGAGGATGCCGGGCACGGAGGATAAGGGGGCCAGAGTTCACAGTGCTTTGGGGACTTCTTTAGGGACATACCTCATCTCGTTTCATATGCACAACAACCCCATGAGAGACTGTCATTAGCCCCTTTTTAGAGAAAGGAAATTGGGGCTCAGAAAGTGCCAGGTCACGTGACTGACCAGAAACCCAGCCAAGGATTCCCCCTCGGTAGGTCACGCTCTTACCTTGCCCTACGTTAATTACTATATCGTGTTGCCCGAGGATAATATCCCAGTCTGGAATCGCCGGAAGTGTGATAGGAGGGCGGCCCCCGCCCTGTCTGGGGCGTTTTGCTGAAGGAGCAGAGGGGGACACCTTGACAATCTTGGCTCACTGCAGCGCCGGCCTTGGCGGGCGGGAACCCGTGCTTCCTGTTTGCCTGCTGGACACACTCTCTTGCACACATACCATTGAATGAATCCTCCGGGGGGACTCACATTGGCAGGAACGGCCCAGGGAGCATGTGCGTTTGCTTTGACAGCAGTTTAAGTTCCCAGCATCCTGTGCCGTTTACCATTCCCTCTGGCAGCTCACGCAGGTCTCTTGCCTCTCCAGGGGTGGGAGGGAGGGGGGAGGGGAAAGTTCTGAACTGGAGCTACCTGCTAGTAGGGCCTCTAATCTCCTTGGCTCAGATCTGTCAACCTCTGGGGTCAACCTCTGGGGTCAACGGGAAGCTCACATTCTTCCCATTGTCCAAAATACCTCCCTTCCATGGGGGCCACAGGGCCTGGGGGAAAGCATTTCAGCTTTGGCACAGCTGGGTCCCGGGGACAATTTTACTGGTGGTCATTCTTTCATCAGACGTGTATCAAGCACCCAGTCTGTGCCTGGCACTGTTCTGGGCTCATTCACTTACTAGGAGATGTTTGGGCAAGTTTGCTACTTCATGTCCCAGTCTCGGGCTTCTCTGCAGCAGAAAGGGCAACGCAATACCTTCCTCATGGGGTTGAGGGTTGAAGGAAATCGCAAATGTACTGCCCAGTGCCTGACACTGAGCAAAGGCTGGATGGCTGTCAGCTCCCCTCGTTCACTGGCCCTGCAGAGGGAGTGGAAGTAGCAGGGGGGAGGTGGAGAGTGCCCACCAGTGGTGGAGAGTGCGGCGGGCGTGCAACCCAGGGGGTGCAGCAGGGGGTGCAGCAGGGGGTTACGGCATTGATACCGGGACATCAAACCATGGCGGCTCCATTTGGCATCTTAGGCCACAGGAAATACGATCGCCCAGTCCTTGCCCTTAACTTCCTTGCTAGCTAGTCACCTAGTCATGCATTTATTTACTCAGTAGATACTCGTGGAAGGTCTCTTGTGTGCTAGACATTGAGCAGGGTGCGGGGATGCAGTTACAGTGACAACGAGTGGCCCTCCACTCGTTGGTGTGTTGTAGTCTGGCCATTGCTCGGCCGCCGTTGGGTTTTCATGTACACAAAACTCTAGCAAGTCTGTTTGGTTGGCATCCGGCCTAGGGAGATGCGGAGCGGAAAGCTGGGAAGCGGATTCTGTTTGCCGGCCCACTGAAAGCGGCCAGAAAGGCCACCTGACATTCGGTCGGGAGGAAGGATCCGGTAAAAACAATGAGAAGATGCCTGGGGACAGAACTGCCTAAAGCACAGCACAGAGAGGCCTTTTGAAGGAGGAGGAAGGGCAGAGGGCCTTCCGGCATCATGAGGCCGAGTGAGGCTGGGCAGTAGCTGGCACAGCTGTGACCCGAGTCACCTTGGGAAGGTTCATCACCACGTGAGGTGGGACCCCAGGTGGGGGCGGGGGGGTGGGTCAGGAGTCTGTTTGGGGCCACAGCCCTGGCTAGACTGACCCCCACTTTGTGACTTCAGGCAAGGCCCCATAGCTCTCTGGCCTCACAGTCTACTCTGATAATGACATTTGGATAAAAAGGATAAGGAAGTCAAGCATTTTAGAACTGTCTATTTAAATTAAAAGACTTAAAAATAAGCCATGAGGTGTCTGGAACACTCAGCTGCTGGGACAGTTCCATCTGTGCCTTATGGTCCCACACCGGCATTTCCCAAACTCCCCACGTGGCATCTCGTGGCAACCGGTGCTCGGCAGGGGAGGGCGGGCTGCAGCCTCGGGCGCCCCCTCCCGCATCGTCGTCATCCTGACTCAGAGGAGGGCCAGTCGACTCACCCTGGACTCACCCTCCCAAAGCTCCACACAAATCTGCAAGGCCTGGACGGGCAGCAGGGCATCTGGACGGGTCCAAAATAGAAACCTTGGCTTTGGCCGCCGCTGACCACAGAATTCCGCCAGCTCCCTGGGGCTCAGGGAAGCAGGCGCAGCCCGGGAGCCTCTCTGCGGGGCCTTTGTGGGTGGCGTGTTCTGTGCTCTCGTGCTCGTGTTAACTGTAGAGAGAACGGCTGATGGGTCTCATCACGGGTTGTGGGTGGTTGCTGTCCGCGGGTCACAGATAGGAAAGTGACCCAAGGTAGTCGTGGCGGGACGATGGTCAGTGGGGGCAGGTGCCCTCACGGAACAGTGCTTTGTCAGGAGTTAGGCCTGCTGGGTGGGTTTTCTGTGACATTTTCTGGAGGGAACGAGTTATGGACTTGGGAGTGGGGGGGATGATGCCAGGCGGGCGGTCAGCGTGGACTCTGGAGGGATGGCCCCTCTGAGGTCAGCTGTGCTGCTCCCATGGTGGCCGGCGTTACCAGCTGACAGGCAGCCAGGCTGACGAGCCCGCTCTCTGTATGGGGGCCACCCTCCTCAGGGACATCTGGGCATGCCGACAGGGTGTTCTCAGGGAATGACTCCCACGGTGGCCTCTCAGGCACGGTGGCACCTGGAGGGTGGGTAGAGGGTACTTTGGGGGCAGGGGGAGATGTTCATTTTGGCCACCAAACCCCACCAGTTAGATGAGGGGGTTGAGCTGGAGAACGTTGCCTTCCTTCCAGCTCCCCCTCCCCTCTGTTTGCGCCGTAGTTGTCCAGGTAGGTAGTCAGTGGAGAAATGATGAGAAAGAGGTCGGGTGCAGAGCGGGGAAGAGGGAGTGGAAGCAGGAATTCCTCCCTTCACTGAGAAGCAGATCTGGAAGGTTCTAGGGAAGGGGCGAGGTACTGGGCATGTGAATGCAGGGCCTGCTGGTCTCATTCTGCTGTCAGGGTGGTCTCGGCTGCCCCCTCAACCCTTGTCTCCCTGGCCACTTGGCTGCTGAAGTGGGCCTGCTGGCCTGAGCTGACTGAGACTCCGGGCTTCTGTCCTGGGGCCAGTGTCTACCACAGGTTGCTGCTCTTCAGAGTTCTGAGTTGTCCTGTGCCTGCCATGCCCTGAGCCTACTCAGGGGGTCCCATTCCCCTTCGCTCCTTCTTTTCTCTGGGTAAAACTTCTGCCCCCAGGCTACTGGACAGAGTGGCCGCCAGGAGCAGAAACAGTGTCCTGGCTCATTAAACCCTCCCATGTCCTACCAGACCCATGAGGGCTGCCTACCGCCTCCCTGCCCTTTACCTGCATCCTGCATAAGCACCCCCACACCCTCGGGTGACACCTGTGATCCGTCTGACCTTTTCAGCTTGTTTCTCTGCAGTGGTTCAGAGCTGGTTCAATTAATTCCTCTGGGCACCAAGCTGTGCCCCAGGCTCACCATCCCTGCACGTAGGGTGCGGGGATGCAGTCGCAGAAGCTTTGTGGCGCAAAGAGCAGGCTGCCCACAGGAGACACCGGTTCACTTCTGGGCTGTGACCTCCCAGGACATCACCTGACCTTCCTAAAACAGGGACAGGGGTCCTCACTTTGCAGGGTTGTGGTGAAGAGTAAATGAGCTGCCCCTTCAAAGGTCTGTCACAGAGGCCATGGAGGATGACAACTACTGCGATCGCTAAACCTGCTCATCAGGCTTGTGGGCCAGTGGAGGACGCTTACAAGGTCACCCTGTGGGCAGAGCTCTGGGGCCCCTGTTTTTCCCAGCCCCCACCTTCTCTGGCATCTCTCACTTTTTCAAAGCAGATTTGTAGGGAGAGAAAGAGGAAAAATAAGGGAGAATGTGGGGGGCCCCTGGGGGATTGAGGGGCTGCCCAGAGCCCTGGGGGCTGTGTGTGGGGGACCCAGGGAGAAGGTCTCAAAGTGGAGTGGGGTTTCCTGGGGCAATCTCATCCCACTTTGCTTTTGCCGACGGCCTGCCCTGGGCTCCACGCTCAGAGAGGTGGACTGATGTGACTCAGGGAGGTGGCTCTCACGCAGCCCCTTGGGCTCCTGTGTCGTAGCCAAGCCCGGCCCGGCACAGGGGCCTCCTGCCCAGTCCTGAGGCCACCGGAGGGGCTCACCAGTGAACGTCACAGAGGGGTTTCAGGAAGTGGGGCCCTGCTTGCCCTGGTTACGGGCCTCTGGGCTTTAGCAGGGAGGCTGCTGTTACGCAAAGAAAAGGGTCTCCTCCGCAGGTGGCTCGTACACGAGGCCCAGCCTTCCCAGTGATCTTGACCCACAGCCGGAGCATCTGTGCCCCTCAGGTTTTGTCCTTGAACACATGATATGCATGCTTCCTCTAGATCTTGAGTTTGACTGATTCACAGCAGCTGACCCTCAGTAGGAGACGGGAAAAACAAACCACAACAAAAACGCCCCCACACTTAGCTTCTTTTGAAGCCACGTGACTTCAGCAACATTTCACTGCCGTCGATTGCACAACCACTGAGGTCCAGGACCCTCGCTGGGGGCCCTCCTTCCATGAGCTGATTGACCTCTACAACACCACCACGAGGTGGCGGGCACCCCGCCGTATGGGGGCCCCCGCCCAGGCCACGCCGCTAGTATATAACCGAGCCAGGGTTCGAAGCCATGTCTGACGTGGACACGCAGGGCCTGGCCTGCTTCTCTCCTGCCTGCCCCAGGCCCGGGCAGGGGCCCCTCCTCCAGCCCCTGCCCTCTACGAGGGACCCAGCCTTAAAGCAGCCAGAAAGATGGCTGAGTTAAGTCCACTCGGGAGACAGAGAAGCCCTTTCCCCAGGAGCCCCCTCCACAGGGGACAGCGGGCGGTGAGGGGGGTCCCGTCTGGGGCGACTCGCAGCTGGGCTCACACCTCAGCTCCGCCCTCAGCCATTCGCTCACCTGTGGGAAGGGGATAGGACGGTTCCTTTCTCACAGGTGCTGGGGCTGATGTGCATTACTAATCGAAGTGCCCGCACTTAGAGCTCTGTGGGCACTTCCTGTTTCTGTTCAGCCCAGACCTGACCTTGACTCTGCTAGCGGGGAAGGAAAGGAGCGAAGGGACTGGGAGTTTATCATCCAGTCCTGGGGACAGGACCCCGCACAAGGAATGTCGACCGATACTTGAAAACATGATGTCAGCAAAGTCACCTCGCAGCACGTGACAGCAGTGGCCGTGCACCCGGAGGGGTGGGTGCTGCATCCAGCAGTCACAGGATGGGTGTCTCAGGCTGGGGTCGAGGGGCCTGGGCAGAGGGGCTCAGAGCATGGCCTCTGACGTTTATCCCAGTTGCCCTCGGTGGCACCAACCACCATTGTCGCTCAAGATGGTGGTTGGAAATGCAGGTTCCTGGGCTCTGCTGCCTGGTCATGTGACTGCGCGGGTCTGGGGTGGAGCTGCAGTGCCTGCATTGTAACAAATGCCCCCATCCCCAACCCCGTCCTCTGGGTTCGTGATGCGGTTGGTCCCTGATCAGTCGCTGAGATACACTGTTCCCAGGGACACTAACTCACTGAGCTAAATGACACAGGTGTCGTTACCCACGCCCGCCACAGAGTTTCCACTCAGCCTTTGGGGCTCCTGCTGGGAGGGCAGGGTGCCCTGTGCCACCTGCTCTGGTTCCCACGCGAACTCCTCCCCACCCCGACCCCAGACCTCGGTGTGCCGTCCTCCCCTCTCCCCGTGTCCGCCCCTCAAGACGTGAACCACTTGGGTGACAGAGCGCCCAAAGTCTGTCCAGAGCCTGGACTGCCCTCCCCATACCTTGCCCACCCATCTACCAGCAATGAGTGGGCCAGGTGGGCATACCCAAGCCCAGAGAAGCCGGGGGTCTGCCTCAGTCACTTTCCCAAGACAAAGCCCAGACTTGAACTTCTGTCACCACCGTCTCCCAAAGTGCAGCTCTTCCTCCTCCATGGCCCGGAGGCTGTGGTAAACCTGGCTGCTTTGAGTTCAAGGAGAGAAGACTGTGTGAAGGGTTTTATGAGCACCTGTTCTGTCCCCAGCAGGGGCCAGAGAGAAGAGTGGGAGACTCACCCATCGGGAGGATGTACACCAAGCAGGCCAGGAACCGGATGGACCCTTCCATGTTGTGAGTGCCTGGAGACCCCAGACCAGCCCCCACATTCGGCCAGGCCACCAGGAGAACCCTCCTTGGTGTGGGTGTGGGGGAAGAACGGTTGGGGGGTGGGCGCTGTGCTCCCGTCTGCGCCCGTGCTGGGTTCTGCCAGGGCTGAGGAACTGGGGAGAGGCAGCCCGGCAGCCCGAGGTATGATTAGATGAGACCCGTGGGGCTGAGTCATGTGGAAAACCAAGAAGGGAACCACTGGGATGATTTTTCAGGACAGAAAACAGAGAAGTGGACGGGGAAGATGCAGGACCCTTTCCTGCAGCCTGGTTCCTCTGAACAGGCTGTGCTCGTGCCTGGCTCCCTCCCTCGCCCCTTCCTTGCCTCCCTCTTTCTTTCTTTCCCTCCCCTTTACCCTTCCTACATTTTTAGTGGGCTAGGATGGGATTTCTCTCCCTCCACCCCTTCTGAAAAAGGGTTTTGACAAGATGATAAAAGAGACAGGGGAGGAGCCTGCCAACATAAACACCCATCCAAGTGCAGCCAGAAAGCTCTCAGTATTTTGCCCTGGCTGGTGTGGCTCAGTGGATTGAGCATCAGCCTGAAAACCAAAGGGTCGTCGGTTCAATTTCCAGGTTCAATTCCCAGTCAGGGCACATGCCTGGGTTGAGGGCCAGGTCCCCAGTATGGGGTGCAGGAGAGGCAACCACACACTGATGTTTCTCTCCCTCTCTTTCTCCCTCCCTTTCCCTCTCTCTAAAAATAAACAAAATCTCAAAAAAGAAAAAGAAAGCTGTAGGTATTCACAAGGAAAAGACTCATCACAGACCATTTCCACGACTAGACCCCCTTCAGAGGGCCTGGGGTCCTGCAACTGCTCCTTAGACTCAGATGGTCGTAAGGATCCTCAGGGATCTTGTGAAAGCGCACCCTCTGACCTGGGCTGTCCACGGAGCCCCGTGCTGCTGTCCCGCTGCTGCTGCTGCTGCTGCTGGTCCATGAGCCGCACATCCAGTGTGGAGCACTAATCCTGGGCCACTGGGTAGAATACCAGATGCAAGTCAGGACCCTGGGGGAGAAGGGAAGCTCTTGGGAGCTTGTTCTGAAGGGACTCACAGTGGGACCCCACGGGGGCTGGAGGGCTGTGAGCTGTGTCTAATGGACTGCATTGGGTTTGGACTGTCTGATGGCAGGGTCTGTATTTTTGCTAATGCCCTGGACTCCAGTGCCCCAGACAGAGGTAACATTAGCAATGTCGTGCTTCTTGTCCAGGTGGCAGAGGAAATAGCCAAGTCCAGTCTGTGCCCTGCCCATCGCCTGCTCCTCCCCCTGCGCCTCTCTGTCTCTCAGGTGGGAGAGCCAACCAGCCACACTCAGGAGGCCCCACCCCACCTGGCACCGCCCCAAGGTGAGTTCTCTTACCCATTGGCCTGGCCACCTTGGAGAAGAGGAGGATCAGGCTCTGGGCACCCCCCTCCACGCAGTCCCGAGAGAATGGGGGTGGGGAGGTCTTGTGTTCTTGGCTGGACTACTTCCCCAGCCCCTGGCGCAGCGGGCCACAGCTCAGCTCCACCTGGAGCTCCTTCCTGGGCTCCTCTCAGCTCCAGTTTGCTTCTTCCATCTAACTGGCAAACCAGGGGCAAACTTTCAGGGGTGGATGCAGACCTCTCCCCTTCTTCCAAATAGCTTCAGAGAATCTCACGGCATGTATTTGATGCAGCATAACTTGTGTAACCACTCCCTGTTAATGGTGTTGGAACTGCTGGCCAAGTTGCAGGAGGACTTCACGCAGTACTTCAGTTTCATCCAAAACCCCAGAAGTAGGATCTCCAGGTCACAGGGTGTGCACATTTTCATCTTAATTATTACATTCAGATCATGCTCCTAAGAGTTAGCCGTCAGAGTGGCGTTTTGCACCTATTTAACACATTACAGTCAAAGGAGGAGGTGGAAGGGGGTTACACGAAGTCCACCGGTGATGGATTAGGGAGGTGGGAGAAGGCAGAGGGGGGATCTCTGGGATTAGATAAAAAGTAAAACGAATAGACACATAATGCTTTTGCACTGGTGGGTACAGGGTACTTGACAGTTATCAATGAACAGAATAACAATAACACTGAAGGGCTCCGTGGCCTCCTGCTCAGGTGGGAGGTTGTGCCCTGATGGGTCTGCAGAATGGAAATTGCCCTGGCATTCTGAAGATCTGTTATCCTTGGTGCAAAAACACAACAGACAGGCTCAGTTAAGGTAAAGACTGCCCTTTGTCCAGAAGCTGGCCTAGCATGTGGCCGCCTGCCAGGACTCACTTTTAGTTAGGACGTCTTACTTCCTGAGCATCCTAGGTGGTTGCTGCAGGTCTGAGTTTGTAAGGCTGCCATGAAGGCCATCCTTGAGCTTGTCAGGCTTAGTTTGTGGCCACTTTGAAATCCACACTTTCCCCTTTGGTCATAAATCAATCCAGAGGATGCATTGGTGATGAACCTTCTGATTGAATAATGTGGCCCCAGGGTGCTAAGGAAGATGCATTCCTAGGAAGTCCTACTATCAAAGTTTGTCTTGCTGAAGGATGGACCACTGGGGATGGGATGAGATGGCAACCTTGGGTGGAAGTCAAGGCTGAATTTTTCTCCAAGGCGAAAAGCAGGTGAATGGGAGACAGTCAGGTCTCACGGGCCTTTGTTAAGGAAAACACTTCGGATCATTTTCAACCTATCAACTGTCACCATCCGGGCTGCGCTGCCTGTCTCACTTCTCTGTGTTTTGCATCTAGTGTAATGCTTATTCAGTTTGAGGGTGCCCATACAACTCATCAGCTGTCACAGTCGACCATGAGATGGGTCCCCATTCCCTGGGTCCCATCTGTTTCCCATTGGGAGCACTCCAGGGCTGGTCATCAGTCGGCTGGTTCCCGCTAGTTGTGCAACTGGAAGCTGTGACTTTCAGGCTTATTTGGGGCCAGGACTGTAAGAGCACAATGGTGTAAGTTACAATTACCGTGTAAAACTTCTAGAGGCCAGGAGGACGGTAAGATTTTCTTAAGTAAATTTCCTGTGCCTCAGCAGTAGTTCCAGAGGACTTCGCTTTCATAGGCACTTCAGCTTCCACCCAAATTAGTGGAGTTAGTCATCCCTGTTGGGTTGGGGGTAAGCATTTTCCCATAATTAGATTCTGGAATTTATCCATAAAATTCCTTCCTTGATATTTCTTTTCCACTAATCTTCCACAACTTCCCTTGTTCTTCTTAGTTTCTTTTTACTCATTCAGAAATAACCAACTTATTAGGACAAACTACTTACTTTTAACCTCTTTTAAACACACACACTCCCCTCCTTCCTTCTGCACTACCATTCCTTCTGAATTTCCAAAGAGAAACCATAAATAGTATTATTGATAATACAGAAGTTATCTACCTACACCTTCATCAATTATTAACAATTGGGCTCTATACATAAGGTTTGAGAAAAGCCCAAAGAACAAGTATAATTATTATTATGCTTAATATTAGCAGACAGGTAAAGACAAACAAATGAAGCTCAACATCAATTTGTAGGTACACAGGCCTTGTGGAGGCCTTGGGAAAGCTGTCTGTCTCTGATATGGCAGCTTCCCATCCTACAGAAGTCTTTGACCTCCACATTAGGTGCAGGGGCAAGCGGCAGAGACAGAGGCGGCTGTGCATTTGTGGTTAAGCGTCTTGATAAGGTCCCTTCCAATGACGTTGCAGAGTGTCATTAATTGATGTCTTTTTCAATGCATACAACTTCCTGGTTGTAAGTTGTAGTCTTAGTCTCTTGGGAGTGCAATGTGAAATGAATTGGTTACTAATTCATCAGTCCCTCTGAACTGGTTAATAAGTCCTTGATGATAATGCAGAATGTCTCCTTTTAGGGAGTTGATTCAGATGTCCCTGTATCTAGATGTGTAGGGTGACCGGTGATTATTGAATGAGGAGAAAGGCTATGTGTTTACCAAGAGAGGTTGATTTTAGGTTAAGGAGCACTATAAGGAGAGCTGTGGCCAAGGAAATGAAAAGCTTCTGAAAATTTACCTTGTCGAGTTTTAACTGCATCATTTGTATGTTCCATCAATCCAGATGACCGGGGTGATAGATGCAATGAAAATACCATAGAATAGGCCAATACAAATGCATTGCATTACGTGCCCAGTGAGATGAGTCCCTCAGTCACTGTAACTCAGAGGGAATGCCCCCACTGGGGACTAATTCACCTACCATTAAGGGAATGCCTCGACCCAGTGAAAGAACATGCAAATCCTCACTAGCACATAGTTGTATTCTTGAGAGAGTGGGATTTGGATAAAATCCAATGATCATACCTCAGATGGGTCTAAAGGAGGGGAAATGTCCCTGGGACCCATAGGATTATTTTCCAAGGTTATATTTGGATAGATAGAACATCTGCTATCCACTTCATGAGCTATAGCAGGAGAAGGTTTCCAGTAATATTGTTTCTCCACAAAGTCATCTTGTCAGGACTTCAGTGTCTTAGCTCATGTACATGTCAAAGTGTAGGTAAGATTGGTTTCTGATGGGGTCCAAACCATAACTATTTGTCTGGTCGAAGTTTCCTTCTTTCTGTTGCCCTCTTGTCCTCAAATGCAGCTATCTCCTGAAACTGTGAAAGAGAGTCTTTTATTGATTCACTAGAAAGCCCAGGGCATTCTCAGGTGTGGATAATTTGGCTCTTTAATGTGGCTTGACTAGCTGCAGCATCAGCTAAATGATTTCCTTTTGCTTTCATGGTGGCAGCTTTAGAATGTTCTGGAATTTTGATAATTGCTAATTGTTTCTATTTTGTATGACATCTAATAATTCTATAACTTATTTCCCATTCTCTATGGGCTGTCCTGAGAAAGTTAGGACCAAGAGTGTAGCTACTATTAGTGTAAATATTGGCTACTTGATCTTCAGCCAATTGACAAGCCTCACTGTGAACAATTAACTCAGCTTCTTAAGCAGATCTTTTTAGGTAAATAAGAACTTTCAATTATGTCTACCATGG